CACCAATTTAAAAGCATTATTTTCTTCCTTTTTTTTTTTGTTTTTTTTTTTTTTTTTTTGTAAAATTTTTAGGATTGTTACACAACCTCTTCTAGTGAATTTTTTAGGTGCGCCTTAATTTAATTGTTTACAGCTTCCTCATTGTATAAACCTTTTCCTTTCAAAAATGGAATCCTCGTTAGCTTCATAAGATTAGTATGCACCTTAGACAATATAGAGGTCAAGAACGTTATTTCCAACCGTAACCCTAACCAGATTTCGATAGGCCGTTTTAGTTATGCCAAGTGATTTAGGCTCCCACGGCTGCAAAGTGTCGATTTATTCTCCCTTGTAGATACCAAGATTGGGGTATTTTTAGGACCCCAATTTTTGAGGATACATGCCTTACTACCAAGAAACTGCTCAAAAATATTGATAAAAATAATAAGAAAAAGTGTTACATGAGTCAGCAGGTGTTATATGAGTCAGTCTCCACCTTTAAGATGGACATTGCGCAAAGAACATGGGTCAAATCAAATATGGATAATGCTAAAAACATTCCCAAAAAAAAAACACAATTTAAAGTTAATTTCTTTTGTCGTAGTTATGATCAGCCTCAGATGATGAATCTCTAAAATCCATCTTTAAGGTGAATTTTACATAGCCGCATGTGTACATATGAAGCTATTGACCCATAGAAACCCCATCCTAATAAAAAAGGGTGCGGGTATAGAGCTCTAATCAATCAAATAAGAGCCTACTTTCAAATAGTATCAAGAAATGTGATTTTAATATCGAAAATCTCTATGATAGCCTTAAAATATATTTTTATCTTTATTTATAAAGTTTAAAGCTCCAAAAATAGTGTCGATCAAAAGATATATAAAAACTTGAAAATCTTGACAATTAACTGTCCAAAAATGCTCTACAAAATACACTCTTTCCAAAACTTGAAATCGACTTTTTTCTCATTTCCATATATCCTGATGTTGCGATGATCAATTTGAAGATATTTGGGCATCAAAATAACCTCTTCTAGTGAAATTTTTGAGCTAAGTTCAAATTTGATTGTTTAGAGCCTCAGCTCTATATAAACTTTTCCCGATAAAAATTCAA